GAAGGTACAGGCTGAGCTGTCTGCAATCTGCTCTGGGTGTGAAGGAATGACTGTGTGCATAGCTCTGCCTGCACAGGATAAATAATAAGAATTAGCAGGAGACACTGGAGAGGGTTTCAGCACCATAGGGGTCAATGGGATGAGGGGACAGCGACTAATGATGCTCTAGCACCATCTGTCCTGGCCTCATCCCCGGCGCGTGCAGCTCCCGTGTTATGCCACCTGCTGGCCACTAGGGGCGTGTACCCACCTGTAGCCAATTAAACAGCTTCCACGCGTCGCCAGCAGATACAATGTAACCAGGTCTATAGCAACAGAATAGGAGAGAGAATAGAGAGGTAAAAAGACAAAATAAACAAGAGAGGAAATAGATACAATGAGAAAAAAAGATATAAAGAGAAATAGTAAAGAGAAAAAGTAATGAAAACGAGATTAAAAGAAAAGGGAAAAAGTATATATATAGAGGACCATTGAAATATTTTAATATTATTATATTGCCAGTATTCAGACTATATGGATAACATACTCTGCATAGTGAGCTCTGTGTAAAATGGCTGCAGGAGCCTCTATTGGAAACTTCCCACGGCTCTCCTATCTTTATAACCATGAGAAAATGTTTCCTAATTATTCACAGAGCCCAGTGTAACTGTCACCCAGATGGCGATCAGACGCTGAGCGTCTCTAGAAGAAAACAAAGGACATTCAGAAAATGATTGTAGGGAAATAAGTCTGTTTTTCCCATTGAAGCTGTTCGTGATGCCCAGGATGGGGCACTGGGGTTAGATATGGAGTTTGGGGAGGGGGCTCCACTGATCCCCTGGGATGTTGGGTGAGGTTAGGGAGTCAGCGTTGGTGGAGGGGGATGGGAGGCGTGTGCTGGGCACGTTCCATTTTCATTTGAGGGTATTTATACAGAGCAATTCTAGAGCAAACTTCTAAAAGTGGAGCAATCACCATGGAAACCAGCTGAATTGTGCCCCAACAGACTTACAGAGAGATACAAAGAGAAAGACAGACACACACAGACAATGACAAACCAAGAGTAACACACACAAAGAGGAAAAGAGACAACGAGACAAGGAGAGAGACATACACACTCACAAACACAAAGAGGGAGGGAAACACACACACACACACAAACAAACAGTCACAGACACAAAGAGAGAGACATACACAGACACAACGAGAGACAAAGACAGACACACACAGATAACAAACAGAGCAACAAACACAAAGAAGCAAAGAGAGAGAAATAGAGACAAAGAGAGAGACATACACACACACAAAGACACAACAAAAGAGACAAAGACAGACACACACAGACAATAAGAAACAGAGTAACAGACACAAAAAGGCAAAGAGAGAGAGTAGAAACAATGTGATAGGGACACTCAGGCACACAAAGACCAACAGTGAGATAGACTAACCGACCAACAGAGGTATAAAAAGACAAACATACAGCTTCCCACTGTTTGGTAAAAGTAAAAGCCTTCAGCTATCTGTAGAGTAGTACACCTCCTTAATAAGGGTTGTATTATTTGGTTAAATGCTATGATGACACTGTCTCTGTAATGTACTAACCCTTTGAAAACATGCCCAAAGTGTGAATAACCTCTGAGAGCCGTTACAGTAAGAGCAAGCCGTGTCCTGACTGTAAGCTTGGCACAGGAGGCTTCCCAGCGCTGTGTCTGATGGAATGCTCACTGAGGGTCTATTAAACCGCATTAAACAGCCCACACCCATCTGCTGGGTGATCCCAGGCGCGTGCATCCTGTACAGGGGGCTCAGGCAGGGTCACAGGGAGGGTTAACCTTTGCAGTGCACAGAGACCCACATTACAGAGTATTACAGAGGGGCTAACTGGAATATGTAATAATGGACAGAGTTTACCCCTATTGGGCATCAAGTGCAATAAATAAATACATAAAATAAAACCTTCTATATTAAATATTGTGTTATTCCTTGATCCTGTGAAAGAATACCAATACACTCACAGCATTCATAGGGGAAATAAATAAATATAAATAAAAAGTTTCAATGTTATTAGGAAATCCTGCTATTATGATAAAAGCATAAAGTAAACAAGCACAGTGGGAATATACTGGCAGTCTAACGTAGGATACAGGAGAAAAGACACTTTTATTTATTTATTTATTCATTCATTCGTTCATTTGTGCTGTTGAAATTAAAACACTACTTCTTTCATATAAATGCTGATATGATAAGTACCTGGACCTGACCTCAGTTACATGTTTATTCGATTCCTTAGGTCATTTTTTTAAATATATGTTTATTGTAGAATCATCTGGACTGTGGATTGTACTCCAATAATAAAAATGATGAAAATAATTATTTTCATTTCAAATAAAACAAACGATTACCTTGCATTGGACAATATGCAGTGTGCACAGTGATGCACAAGTTTACAAAGTGGAGAACGTGATTCCAAGAGCTTACACTCGAATAAAGAGCAACACAATCTTAGCTATTGTATCATATTAATCACAATACTATTTGATTCTGGCTCCTGCACTGCCTAATTTTTCATCTTTACCTACTTGTAAAAATGTCCAGGATTCATTTAAATTATGAATTAACATTAAAACATTTAGTGTTTTCTGATTTCAAAATATCAAATAGGTTCAATTCAGTAGCATCATGCTGGGACAGACTATTATCTCCATATTACTGCTGGACTGCAACCCCCATCACGCAATTCCCAATTAAAATCCAGTGAAGTATTACATGAGGAGGTCTCTGTACTCACATGATGTTCTCCTGGGTCTGCCAGAGCAATGTGATCTCTGAGGGTCTCTGGACCAGGAATACAATCTGGAAGGATGGAGAAGGGGGGTAGGGTGGAGGGAGTGGAGAGCGAAGTATGGGAGTTTGGAAACTGAGACCCGATAACTGATTGAAGGCCAGCAGGCATCACAGAGTGAAAAACGAAACACAAAGCATTTTTATAATATTTATTTATGTCATTAATTAATCCATTATTATAATAAGCCGTCTCTGAATTGTATATTCATAAGCAGCCTGAATTAATTGCACAGAAGTCAGGATGTTATATAGACCTGGAAATGGACTTAAGCAGTTTAGATAGTAGAATAAAACAATAGAACATGTAAGAAATGTATAGAATGTTCCAGGAATGTAGTGATAGGCAGTCACCTGTATATCCATTTATAGTATAACATCTACACCTCACTTTTATGGCAATGCCATTAGAGCACCCATATTATTTACCCTATTAGATCCTGGGTAAGGGAATTATATAGGAATGGTTCCATTATTTAAACACAAATATAGGGGCACCTTGATACAATGTTTAATAGTTCTATAATAATATTCAACTTTTACTACTTATTCTTAATACTTAATATGTTATATTATTATTAATATTATTTTTAATAAATAGATACATTTGCAACATTTCTAGAATATGCAGAAAGATATTATTTATAGAGGAGGTTACAGCAAATAGATATTTTTGAGGGAGAAGAATTATTGGTTAAACGTGCCCCCAGATTGACACTGAGTCCAGATTAATTCCCAGATGGACAGGACAAAGGGCCAATTTATTGTTATCAAAGTCACACGGAACAAGCTGAATTTTTCAAATGATGCCACAATGTAACCAGAAGGAGCGTCCGATGTGCATGTGCCCCCTGAGGGGGGAGGGGGACTGACGCGTGCGGGACACAGAGGGGTCCTCAGTGCTCCTTATTGAGGGGGCAGACAATAAACCCCTGGGGTAATATAGATAAACAGAAGGGAGAGCCGGATTTCAGAAACCAACGGCCACTGGAATAAAGACTGGGACAATCATATTATTTCATGTTTAAAAACAAACATCAGTCAAGCTGTCTAGTCACAGTGTGTTATTGGGTGGCTCGCTGGGTCACAGAGCTAAGTGTGTCAACTGAACTGCAATAGCCATTACCAGGGCACTGGGGGTGTTTGTATTAATAATATAGTTTGGGAAATAAGGAGATAAACTACAATACACAGAGAATGCTATGATCTGAGTGCAGTACAGAGTGTGTGGGACTGTATACAGCAACATAAAGGGAAATAATACAGAGAGGTTTATACAGAACAAAATGATATCATTGTAATACAAAGAACATTGGATAGATAGACAGACAGACAGACAGACGTAGAGTGATGCATTGTAATATTGCATATTGGTAGATTATTTTTAAAATAAAATGAAGACTTTGGGAGTGTATGGGTGAGCAAGAATTCTATAAATGTGTGAGACGTCTAATAGTTAAGAATGTGTACATTGGAAGCAGTAATAAGGGTATACATAGCATATAACAATCATTATTTACATCTTATACCTATCTACCTATATACCTATATACCTATATAATATTAATATATTCATGTATAATATGTTATTTTGAAGAAAAAAACACAATTTACTTGATAAATACAAAAGTGTTTGTTTGAGTTAGAGAAAGGTTTTAACACTGGTGAGATGTCCTATTTCAGTCATTACTAATTGAGACATTAAATTGGTTTAGTATTGTGTTATGCTATTCCATATTTTATACTGGGTTATCTTATGATGGTTTATGTTATGTGTTCTGTTACGCTATATATTCCAATAGATTTTGGTGATGATAATATATTTTATTTGGATTTAGTGAGTTATCCAATATGTTATGTTATATACATTATCCTAGATTATGCTATGTTATGTTGTATTTTTTTTATAGGTTATGTTATGTTTGTGATGTTGTATTCAAGGTGATGTTATATGTTATTTTGGTTTATGTATTAAAAGGTTTAGTAATCATGGGAAGACAATCCATTGACTGTGGACACATTTCAGCACCAGTGGGATGTAACGCTAAATGGACAGCGACTGAAGAAGGCAGACAGATCTCATCTGCTCTTGTGCCCGACGCGTGCAAGTCATGATTGACACTCCAGTAGGCAGTATATGGAGAAAAAGAAGAGTTTGTTGGGGGGTGGGTATAAATGCAGCTCTCTGTCTCAGAAAACAATACTGATTCAAGTGGGTCATGCTCATCTCACTCCTTCCATTATGCATGCACTTGCTAAACTACAATGGCATTATATTAATGTTTTGTGTAGAATGCAAACAACTTAATTTGTCCACTTGATTAAATATTCTCTGTTACACCTAATATACTGGCTATTACGTAGATTGCAAGAAAATAAGAGGAGTTTGTTAAGGAGTCATAAATGGTTAATAATCGTGTGTGTTAAAAACCATATGCACTATATAAAGTGAGCATACAAAAGTTCACAATTCCCCATCAGATATTTGTTATTTTTGATGGTAGTTTTTTTTTTTTTCACAGTGTGCACAGAGATAGATTTCTGCCCTGTGCTATTTCTTTCCATAGCAAAACATTCCTGGTCAAATTGAGCAGTTGCCATGGACATCCACAGATTATTCTTGATGAATGCTCCACATTTAGAACTTTGCCACATAGATAATTTTAAAACTGATCTTTATTGTGTGTAAACCTTATTGCTAAGAACCTTCTAATCTACTCTATTACAATTGTCACTTTTGAAACTGGAAAAAGTTCCACTGGTTCCCTGAAGGGATTCTACTGGCATCAAAATCACTTTAGCTTTAATGGTTTCATTTTCAATCAGATGTTAAGTTGCTTTACAAGTTCTTTTCTCCTGCTCTATAAATGTAATTACTCTCCTTGATCTAAGAGGCTATTAACAGAGCAGGGGAAATAAATAAGAAATTCTAGATTGAACAGACTGTGCAATAAAGGAACTTAGGTTACTTTTCAGGAAGTGTTTAGGAAGGCTATGCAAGTTACATACAAGGAGATGTGACTAGAACTTCCAAATCAAACTGATTTAACTCCTAAATGGCAGAGAATTTAGCAGTGGGACTGCAGGGATCTATACACAAAATAGCTTCATTAAGTTAAAGTTGTTTTGGTGCCTATAGTATCCATTTAATCCCTATTACTTTAAAATGGTTGAATTTAGAATTTGACTCATGTTAGGGTGACAGTATACCGCTTAGGAGAGATTGTGCAGAAGATTATAGTCAGCCCAAGTCTTACTAAGCATGACTGAAATTCATGGCTTTCTTTCCTGAAACTTCTAGGCACAAATTAAATGTACTTTGTTTAATTAATACTAAAATACTAAAAGGTTGAAGGGATGACCAGATGAAGCTAATCAAGGTGTTCAAAACACCTCCTGCGGTTAGTTATACTAAATGTGTACTATACAGTACTCCAGATCATAATGTATGATCTAAACAGGGCCCCTATATTCTCACACCCCATCCTTTGGTTTGAAAAAGCAGGTTGGTGATCTAATTCGTCTATGATGTACCTGTTGGCCCACTCTTCCATTGATATAGTACCTCTTCGTTTATCCACTTTATCTACATTTTCAATCTCACACCACTACTATGCTTGCATTAACCCATCTTGTACCTGCTCTCTCTTCTTTGTGTATCTGAACCTCTTTTTTTCTTGTATCAGTACTGTCCCACTCTCCTCTACCTCCGCACATCTTCTTTCACATCTTCTTTCTTCTTCTTGTACTCTTCTTACCTAATCCTCATCAACAACAAATCCATTCCCTACCACTCAAATAGTGATATCCACACTGACAAATTACTGACTATACCATCCAATATGCCATCCAATAACTATAGCCCCACCTACACACAACCACCAACAAACCCGGTTACAATTGCAGCCACGGCCTATAGCCCCTCAACTAAAATAAACCATATCACTCTACACTTCCTGCAAATCTACACTATATACACAGTGTCCACCATAAATGAGCAAAGTTCCAAAGTTTGATGACCTTTAATTATGTCTACTTATATTCCCCCCCCCCTTCCCATTCACTTACACATCATATATGCTCATATTTATCAGAGTTTCCTGTCCAACTCTGTAGCCAATAGCAGTCTCCAACAAAACAGAGAAATGTTTCACTGTAAAAAGAAAATCAAAAGTTTCAGCTAACCATCACTTTTTGACTATTGGGCTATATATTAAAGAAATACTCCAAGCACTATAACCATTACATGGTGCTTCTCTCCCCCAATGGAAGTAGTGAAACTGTTGTAGAGTGGTTTGACTTTTTATCTGGGGTCTTCTGAGTGTATCGCTCCCCAACTCTTTTTTTCCACACTAGGAAACAAAATACTCCTGCTAGCATCAGTTAGCTCTCCAGAGCTAAGCTTTGCATTACATGGCCAGCTCATTGTCTGAGAGTGTCTGCTGATCTCAGCCAATAAATTAAGCCCCACAACAATATCATGCTTACTCAGACAGAAACCTTTGTGACAAACGCTCCTTCCCACGTATGTTTGCCATTGACTGCTGAAGGAGTGTAGAAGCCGACCTCCTGCCACCCAACTATGGTCCAGGTTTGGGACACCATTTGGGACTTATTCTGCCCAACCACCATTAACAGCTTTCCCTGGGTTCCCCTGGTTTGGCACTTTCCCTGCCTGTGAATGGAACCAAATGTGACTGCTATGGAACTAATTTCAGCATGAGAACTTCATTGGTTCCTGGTCAACTCAGCAGGAGTTAGCCGCAAATGTTATGGAACTGTTTTCAGCATGAGGTGACCGTGCAGTTCCCGGACAACTTGGTTCGTGGTTTTAAACCACTTTGAAATCCGCCAGGAGAGGGCTTTTTGGAGGGAATGTGCCTGAGACTAAGGGGAACAAACTCTACCTAAGAGCCAAACGGAGTACCCCGTATTGGGGCCGCAGGAACTCTTGAAAGTTTACCGGCAAAAAAGCCCTGGAACTATTTTGAGCATAGGACCACGTGTGTGGCTGGTGAGAACTTTAACATGGTGGGGTTTTCCCTGAGTGTTATTTGAAGAACTTGGGTGCTCAGATCAGTGCTATCTAACAATGTATTATTTGTGGAGTTATTTTATGTTTTTATTATGTTTTGGGGTATTTTTTTGTTTCATATTTTTATGTTTGCCTCTCTGTTCGGGAGATAATTAGCTTACCGGTCTTTAACCCAAATATGTCCTAGGCCCAGAGATTCCTGGGAGGGGCTTGTAGTAAATACATTGGCGGCCCCTGCTAGTGTCTGTGTATAAAAAGGCTGTGTTTGGATGCATTAAACCAGTTGTACTCCAGTTGTTGGGGAGGAGGTGGGATATCTACTTGGTGTTTTCTTGTTCCTGATTTTACTCTTGGGAGATCCAGTGGAGAGAAAGCTCCTGCTAGGACTAGGGCTCCACTACAATCTTTGTATATGGTTTCACTATTTACTTTGGAAGGACATTCGGGCATTCCTGGCATCATGGCCACTACAGTGCACTGTAGTGTTTATGGTACATAGAGTATTCCTTTAAGAATTATCCAAGCTCTGACAGCAGTGCAATTATAGTGGAACTGTTCGTGTTGATTCCTTCATGGTAAGAATGTTAACCCTGGATTAATATTCAAAACATTGTCATAAACTCAAAACAAAAACATGTGCAGGTGTTTCATCCATTAGAGCCAAACCAGAGGCACACTGTGATGCAAATATTTGGGGCTAATCAGAGACTCAAAATGGAATAGAATCCAGTTTTGTTTGTTTGTTTTTTTAAAGTAGAAAAAATAGCTTAATATTACTGTATTTGCACATTAAAGACTGTTCCCCATACAATCAAAAAAAAAATAGTTTTTACTGATATTTTAAAAGAGGCATTCTAAAGTTTAACAGTAACATAGAGTATCTGACAGGTAAAAATACATATTGGAGGAAATATGCTTGTAACTAAATAAATGTTCAAGTGGGTTAACATCAGCTCTAACACATTAAAGCTGGTTACTGGGCTGGGCATGACTGAAATGGGCATGCTTGTTAATACAATTAGTGTATTGAGTTTCTTACCTGTTTAGGGATGATATACAAATGCTTTCCCTTGGTTTAATTGTTATATTTCTTATCCCTGTGTGAAATAAATATGGATATATTAAAATTGGTTCTGATCTGAGCTTACATTCAAGGGACACTCCAGGGAACCAATAAATGTTTTGCAGAATGTTGCATTATAAGCCTGCCTCCTTAGCCACGCCCCCTCATGCCAAAAAAAAACTTCCTTATCAAAGTTATGCATACAGTCTTAGAAAAGAGTTACTTTCGCACTATCCCAAATCCCTTTATACATGTAAATAACTGGAGTTTTTTTTCATATCACTCCAATGACCATTTAAGTGTTAGCTCAACTGCCATATCAAAACAGCAATTAACCCTATCACTACCAAGGCTTTTTAAACTAGTTGTCCTCTGGCTGCTATCACCTGCAACACCTCTGGTAGCCAAGTGCTTTAATCTTTATGTGCAGTGTTTCAAAGTGAATCACTGCACATACAGACTGCAAGCCTCGTGTCCGCATGAAATCACTGGAGTTGTCACAGTGGTTAAAGTAACCCTTTAAGTTAGCTTGATTTTATTGTTCATATTTATAGACTAAAGGCTTGTGCTGGTCTCATGCCGGACAATTCCCCTGGCAATGATCACAGGCTGTTCTAGAGATAGACAAACGGTTATTACTAATCTCCTAACAATAGCCTCATCATCAATAACAAATGGTTCTTAAATGATCAGTGAGCACGTTTTCAATACAGCAAACACCTGTCAATAATTATTTACTACTAGTGACCACTGAGCATCATAACAGGGTAGAATTTATTACATATATGATATATATCACTTCTCAATGAATAGATGTCATGTGTTTTCATTCTTAAATTTTCACCTTTTTCAATTATCCTCTGTTTATCTTCACTGCCTGTTTATTCTGACCTGGTACCTACTAGTTTTTTTATTTCCTCGCAGAAGGTACAGGCTGAGCTGTCTGCAATCTGCTCTGGGTGTGAAGGAATGACTGTGTGCATAGCTCTGCTAGCACAGGATAAATAATGAGAATTAGCAGGAGACACTGGAGAGGCTTTCAGCACCATAGGGGTTAATGGGATGAGGGGACAGCGACTAATGATGCTCTAGCACCATCTGTCCTGGCCTCATCCCCGGCGCGTGCAGCTCCCGTGTTATGCCGCCTGCTGGCCACTAGGGGCGTGTACCCACCTGTAGCCAATTAAACAGCTTCCACGCGTCTATAGCAGATACAATGTAACCAGGTCTATAGCAACAGAATAGGAGAGAGAATAGAGAGGTAAAAAGACAAAATAAACAAGAGAGGAAATAGATACAATGAGAAAAAAAAGATATAAAGAGAAATAGTAAAGAGAAAAAGTAATGAAAACGAGATTAAAAGAAAAGGGAAAAAGTATATATATATATATATATATATATATATATATATATGACCATTCAAATATTTTAATATTATTATATTGCCAGTATTCAGACTATATGGATAACTAATACTCTGCATAGTGAGCTCTGTGTAAAATGGCTGCAGGAGCCTCTATTGGTAACTTCCCACGCTCTCCTATCTTTATAACCATGAGAAAATGTTTCCTAATTATTCACAGAGCCCAGTGTAACTGTCACCCAGATGGCGATCAGACGCTGAGCGTCTCTAGAAGAAAACAAAGGACATTCAGAAAATGATTGTAGGGAAATAAGTCGGTTTTTCCCATTGAAGCTGTTCGTGATTCTCAGGATGGGGCACTGGGGTTAGATATGGAGTTTGGGGAGGGGGCTCCACTGATCCCCTGGGATGTTGGGTGAGGTTAGGGAGTCAGCGTTGGTGGGGGGGATGGGAGGCGTGTGCTGGGCACGTTCCATTTTCATTTGAGGGCATTTATACAGAGCGATTCTAGAGCGAACTTCTAAAAGTGGAGCAATCACCATGGAAACCAGCTGATTGCGCCACTGCTAGAATTGTGCCCCAACAGACTGACAGAGAGATAAAAAGAGAAAGTCATACACACACAGACACAAAGAGAGAGGGGG